CTTGCCTTTTATTCCTCCTCACGTAAGTGAAATGCACCGGTGGCTTATCATTACCCGCCGCCCAAACTTGCACCTTGTCCTCAAGGTGAAAAAAAGGAAAATGATGTTGGATAGTGGAAAAGGACTCCCAGGTAGCATCAAAGGCAGGCATTCCCTGCCAATGAATCAACACTTCCACATCACCCAAGCTGCCCGCCCAAGGTTGGCGAACGCCTAAAACCTCCGCCGGCTCCATCCACATCTCCATGTCCGCAGTAAGAGCAGAGGCCTCAGCAGACCCCAAACAACGCTTGAGTTGGGAAACATGGAAAACCGGGTGGATTTGTGCTGAGGCAGGTAGCCGCAATCGGTAAGCCACCTTACCAATCCGTTGTTCCACCTCATAAGGGCCAAAGAAACGGGGAGCCAACTTCTCATTTCGCCGACGAGACAATGACTGTTGCCGGTAAGGGCGCAGCTTCAAATACACCAAGTCCCCCTCCGTGAATTCCACATCCCGCCTCTTCCCATCGGCCACACTTTTCATTTTGTCCTGTGTCCGTAACAAATGCAACTTCAAGGCATCCAAAACAGCATCTCGGTCCTCCAACTGACGTTCGATCGAAGCCGCAGCTGTCTTACCGTAGCCAAACCGAAATAGTGGTGGAGGATCCCAGCCATACACCACACGAAAGGGTGTAGTATGAGCCGCAGAATGATACAATGTGTTATACCAGTACTCAGCCCAAGCCAACCAACGCATCCATTGGTGAGGCCTGTCAAACGTAAAACAACGCAAATACGTCTCCACACACCGGTTGACCACCTCCGACTGTCCGTCCGTTTGAGGGTGATACGCGGTACTCCGCTTGAGCGAAGTCCCCTGTAAACGAAACAACTCAATCCAGAAACCGCTTAAAAAAACCTTGTCGCGGTCGGACACAATGGAGCGAGGGATCCCATGCAAGCGAACCACCTCCCGCATAGACAGATTGGCCACAACCGGGGTTGTAAAAAGGTGGCGAAGTGCCAAGAAATGAGCATACTTACTCAATCTATCCACCACGACCAAGATAGTATTATAGCCCTCAGATTTAGGAAGGCCTTCAATAAAATCCATGGACAAATCCTCCCAAATTTGATCCGGAACTGGAAGAGGCTGCAAAAGCCCCGCGGGCAATAGATTGAAATGCTTGTTCCGCTAACAAACCGAACAACGACCCACATACTCCTTAATATCCTTAAACATGCCCACCCAATACCAAGATGAGGCTAGGCGGCGATAGGTTTTAAAAACCCCCGAATGCCCGCCAATCGGACCATCATGCGCCTCCTTTAATAAGGTGGCAACAAACGGAGAAGACCTGGCAATTACTAGTCGCCCTTTGTACAAAAGCCGACCCTGCTCCAAAGAAAAACCAGGGTAGCTAGTGATATCGAGTAGCAAGGCCTGACAAATCTCAGACAACCGAGGATCCAATAGCACTTGCTGCTGCAGCTCTTCATAATCCTAGCCCTGGACACATGATATCGTGCAAAGAGAGGACACGCTGCCCATGCGAGAAAGCGCATCAGCGGCCTTGTTCTCTAATCCCGGCCGATAATGGATGTCAAAGTCATACCCCAGCAACTTAGTAATCCATTTTTGATGCTCCATACTTACCAACCGCTGCTCCAACAAAAATTTCAAACTCTGTTGGTCGGTTCGAACAAGGAAACGCATGCCCAACAAATATGGTTGCCACTTTTGCACCGCTAGGACGATTGCCATCAACTCACGCTCATAAATGGAATGCGCCCTGCCCCGAGACGACAAAACATGGCTGTAAAATGCAATTGGTCGACCATTCTGCATTAACACAACTCCTAACCCATGTCCGGAAGCATCCGTCTCAACCACAAAGGGCTGAGAAAAATCCGGTAAGGCTAGCATCGGAACCGAAGTCATAGCCTTCTTCAAGGCCACGAACGACTCCTCCGCCGCCTGATTCCACCCAAATTGATCTTTTTTGAGCTGATCAGTCAATGGACTTGCTAACATCCCATAGTTCTTTACAAACTTGCGGTAATAACCCGTGAGCCCCAAGAAACCCCTCAACTCCCGCAACGTTTTGGGTACTGGCCATTTCAGCATTGCTTCAATCTTACGCTCATCAGCCGCCACTCCATCCGCAGAAATGATATGCCCCAAATACTCCAAAGAAGATTGTCCAAAACAGCATTTTTTGTCATTAATCTTCAAACTATACTGCTGCAACAACTCAAAAACCCAAAGCAAATGCTCCACATGTTCTCCTAATGACGCACTATAAATCAAAATGTCGTCAAAAAACACCAACACAAACTTCCGCAAAAAATACTTAAACACCTCATTCATTAGAGCCTGGAAGGTGGCAGGGGCATTTGTCAAACCGAACGGCATGACCAAGAATTCATAATGCCCCTAATGGGTTCTAAAGGCTGTTTTGGGCACATCCTCGGCGCGCACCCTAATTTGGTGATATCCAGAACGAATATCCAGCTTTGAAAAAATCTTTGCCCCATGCAACTCATCCAATAACTCATCTATCACTGGAATAGGAAAACGGTCAGGAATGGTAGCGCGATTCAAGGCTCGGTAGTTGACACATAAACGCCAACTCCCGTCTTTTTTCTTGACCAAGAGCACCGGACTGGAATAAGGGCTGGCACTAGGTTGAATGATGCCAGCCTGTAACATTTCGCTAACCAAGCGCTCAATCTCGTCCTTCTGCCCCTGCGGGTAACGATAAGGACGTACTCTAATCGGTGACGTACCCTCTTGAAGCACAATCGCATGATCACGAGCCCGAGTTGGCGGTAGCCCATGCGGTTTTTCAAAAACAGCCGTGAACCGTTGCAATACTTGCGAAATCTCCTCTGCCATTGGCATTTGTGTACCTTCCTCCAATACCTGTACACACCCAAACTCCACCAAAATTCCCTCTCCTTCTTTCTTAAGCGTTTTCAGCATGGATTTCAAGGAAACCAGCGTCCTACTTAAACTCGAATCCCCCTGTAAAGTAATCGGCATATCCCCCACCTTGAATTTCATTGTTAGAGTTTGCCAATTGACTGTCATATTGCCGAGGGACCTTAGCCATTGCATTCCCAAAATGACATCCGAACTACCCAGCTCAAGAGGCAGAAAATCCTCAAACCACCTCTACCCCTTGCAACCCCAACACTAAACCCCTGCAAACCCCACTTCCCTTCACAGCCTTCCCGGTACCTATGACTACCCCATACGCTTGGGTTGTAGTCAACGGCAAATCTAATTTCCTTACCAATTCCATGGAAATAAAATTGTGAGTGGCCCCCGAATCAATGAGTACCACCACCTCTTGACTTCCAATCTTTCCCCTTATCTTCATGGTTCTCGGGGTGGTGATTCCCACCACAGAGTTCAAAGACAGTTCTACTAATTCTTCCTCATTCCCTACCGTAATTTCCTCCTGTTCATTTTGATTAACGTCCTCTTCCTCTTCTAAAATCAAAATCTGCAATTCTTTATTCTTACAGACATGACCAAAGAAATATTTGCCATCACATTTAAAACAGAGGCCTTTTTCTCGTCTTTTCTGGATTTCAGCCTCAGAAAAACGCCTAACAGAATGCATACCTGTTGGCTGAAACGACTTGTCGTTTTGGGAAGGACCAAACGACTTATCGTTAGGCATGGCCGACTTAAGGACAGTTGTTGATTGACTTCGAAAAGGCTGGGTATATTGCTGTTGTCGCATCCAAGGGCCAGTTGTCGTTCCCTTAGCACCTTTCAAAGCCAAATTCCTATCCTCCACCCTCTGAGCCAATTCGATAATTCAGTTCAGCCCGCTCAGTTGAAGCAGGCGAATTTCTGCCCTAATCTCTGGTTTGAGACCGTTGATGAAGTTACCCTCAAGGATTGCTGTCGGAATCTCCGTCAAAGGTGCGGCCAGCATCTCGAATATACGCGCGCACTGTTCCTTCTTGCCGGAGAGCAAGGAACTTCTCGCAGTTCGACCCCTCCTGCGATGGTCAGAAACGGTCGAGCAGCAATTTCTTGAACTCCAGCCAATCGCGAATTGGTCGGCGCTCGTCCGTCCACTGGAACTTGGAACTAGGCCAGGGCCTCGCCATCCAAACTGATTGCCGCCGCTTCCAATTTCTCCCTTTCTCCCATGCGATTTAGGGTAAAGAATCGCTCGGCACGAAAAATCCAGCCGTCTAGATTTGTGCCTTCAAAAATCGGCATTTCAATATGCCTTGTCATTCCTCCCAATCGGAATTTGCCTTCTCGATGCTCGTACGCCGATCCGCCTCCATTACCGTTCTCCGCCCTAGTCTCCCTGTTCTCCGAGCTTTCTCCTCCATGATTCTGCATCAGTGAGTTCAATTTCCCTAAAATTAACGCCACGTTCTTCTCCAATGCAGGAATCTTCTACAAATCGCCTCTAACTCCTTCCACTTCCTTCATAATTCCCTCACAAACAGCACTCAGCTGCTCTTCCACAGTACCGAGTCTCTCCTCCATTTTCCTGGCGGCCATCCCGATTCACGCAAGATCGGTGCTCTGATACCAATTTGATACGAGATCACAGGTAAATCACAGGTAAAGATGCAATTACTCAAGTATTATTGAATTGAACAACTATCGGAAGGATTCAATGAGAATCTTTCTGAACACTCTACACACACACAGAGGTTTTCGAGAGACCTCGACTCTCCAATTTCTTCTCAATATAATTCTCTCATCTCCTTATTTACTTCTACTCTTTTATATCCCCCTTATTTCCCCCCAAAACCGTTATTCCTACATGCTATTCCTCTACATTAGGCGGCCCCTCTACAGAATTCCCTTTTTGCCCTTGCCTTTTATTCCTCCTCACGTAAGTGAAATGCACCGGTGGCTTATCAGACGGAATGGAGGATTCATTTTCCTTGACGACCTTAGATTTATATAAACATAAAGTGCAGCAAGGAAAAAGAAAAATATAACACAACGTGTGCAAGAAGTCTAAATATTCTATGTTATATGTAATTTAACAAGCGATTGTTCTTAACGGTTTTAGAGATGATAAAAGCATCAAAAGCAAAGATAGAAGACAAACCATTAATATATCCACACTTGGAGCACTTCACTGCTTTACTGTTACACTTCTTTACAATCTTCTTCATTAACTCACCCTTCTTCAGAGGCTCCATTTTAGAGCTTCTCATCTTCTTCAAGAAGTCTTTACGTAGTTTCTCGTCTAGAAGAATACGAGAACAAGACTGAAAGATCCAAAGCAATTTAGAAGTGATATAAATGGAATGACAAGCAAATATTCAAGCTCATATACCATTGACAATGAAAGCCTTGAACACTCAAAGAAATAGCAGTCCCCAGAAAAAATATAAAACAAAAGGAAACATACAGAACCTCTAGACTAGTTTCCTCTAGGATAAAAGATAAAACCAATTGCGAGCTAACTTTCTATTAACAATTGCCCTTACATTCAAATCTGACATTGCAAGATCTGTTGGATTCAAAGCTCACGTTTATTTTTCCCCCTGCTTTAAGGAAACTTTCATGGGGCCATTTGCTAAGATAGCAACATAAGAGATCTGATAGAGCAGTTGTTGTGTCATTAAGTAACCATTGCAATAGGCTATATCACTTTCCATGACACTCAGAACATTATAATATCATCCCTTTCCAAGTGAAACAAAAGAAAAGCACATATACATATAAAGCCAGAAAAACATTAGTAAGACAAAATTACGTTAAAACATGTCTCATAAGATGAAGGAAACTATTTCCCTGAAAAATATAAACAACAAAGGACGATTCCAAGAGATTAGAAAGCCAAAAGTGATCTTAAAAAAGTATGCCCAAGACAACACATAGAGCAGTATCAAGGTCATAGGACTTAAACAACCAAACATGCCAAGCAATAATAACAGGCAGAAACTGGGCTGGAAAGTTTAATCAAACAGCAAAAAGCTATTCTGTTATTATTCTATTCCATTTTATATTTATTTTTATATTCTTGAGAAAGGATGCTACTTTGTTTGGTACCTTGCAAATGCACTTCAAAATATCCAATATGGTACTTAAATATCCAACATTGTACACCGGGAGAGCGAGCTTCAAGTATCCATAGTGCCCCGGACAATCTGAAAAACGCCCATGACATGTTGCGCATTCCGAAAATTTATTTGCAGGGCCCTGGGAATCACAAATACGAAATAAATAAAGATTCATCAATGTCACGACTCTAATCAACTATCATACTACTTAATTCAGCACACTAAACAATATCATCTAAATGTAATGAAGTAATCCGTCATACGCCAATCAAGCACAACTGAAGTGTGAAGTAAACTGAATTCGATTCAAACAAAAGGGAATATAAACATGGAAGAAAAATTAAACCAGAAATCAAACACAAGGAGAACTACAATCAATAAACAATGGTTGTTCTCTCCAATGCGTGTACGTGTAAGAATCGTACTATCCAAACAGGTGAAAAATAACAACACAATCTCTAAGAACCTCAAAACACAAAGCGTAAACATCAAAATTAAAAGTTTATGTAAGAGCAAAAAAAAAAAAAAAACGGAAAAAAGAAGAAATAAGAATTGGGGATTACCATGCGGGGATCCAATAAGCCATCTTCGACAGGTTTGCGATTGGGATCGTAATACTGGCCTTTCCAGACTTGAACTTCGGCCATTTTGCTAATCTCGGACGCGGATTGAACAGTGAACTGCATACTTTTTCTGCAAATTCAACAACAAGATTGAACAAGGAACGAATAATCAAAATCTACATATGCAAAACAAACAAAACAAGAAACGAAAAAGTTTTTGTGTTTGTTTTTTGCTCTTACATTCTCCGCGGCCCAACATCTTCGACGAAGGGCTGTTTGGTGAAGAGGATGTTCTGAGCTTGGTCTCTGCTCGCAGCCATGGCGGAAAGCGGAGAAACGCGCGCAGAGACAGAGTGAGATCAATCGAAAGGCAAAAATGGGTTTTGGAGGGGTTTTGTGGGAAAAAGGCGGGAGCTTTGGAGTGATGGTGAAGACGGTGGCAGTTCAAGCAAAAAGGAAGTTTTGAAAGGAAAAAAAAAATGAAAAATCCTAAGACTGGTTGCCAGACTGGTTCGAACCCTGTACTCTGATTGCAAAATGCTTAGCACCTACCACCGGAGCGATTTAAAAGCGACCTAGGGTTGCGGTGTACAAAATTTATTTAAAGAATATTACTATTTTGTTAATGTATTTGCCCTATTGACTCCACACGATTTGCTCTCTGTCACTTTGCATTGTGTATAATTTTAGGCATTTTTTAGTGTTTATTGGTTAATATTTTTTTATTAGTTAATATTTTGCATAGGTGTATTTGTCAAATAATGACCAAAAGAGGGAAAAATTTTGCATAGAAATAATTTTACTAATTTTTTCCAAACAGAAAAAAACATTAGTATACTTCGAAAGGAAGCAGCCACGTATGTGTATAGTAACACTATTATTAACGATGTAGAAGATCTTTTGATTTTATGAGATTTGATAGTACTCACAGGCAATTTATCCAATTTTGTAGTTGTAATCTATGCGGATATTATTGATGAACTTTCTCTATTTTGCTATACAAAGTAGTTAGACACATTGCTTAATTATGATTAAATATTTGTATTATTTTATTCAACCTATTTTCTTCTTTTAACTTTTAGGATTAATTACAAAAATTCTTCTTAAACTATGTCTCTTTTAACATTTCGTCACTTGATCTGTAAAACGTAATAACAGTTTTTCTGAACAATAAAATGTTAACAAAATTTCCCCCTCTATTAAGAAATTTAATAGTTTTTACACGTTTCGTATTAATAATAGCTGTTGTTAAACAATCTTTAGCACAATTATTATTAAATCCACGCACTAACTTTTTATTTTAATTTATATGTAATTTAGTAAAATAAAAAAAATTAATCTTCTTCACTCCCTAACAAGTTAGCAAATCCCCCACATCACAATTATAGTTCATTCTTTTTCAAAAAAAAAAAGAAAGGTTTCTTATTTTTCATTTGCTTATTTTTAACAAAAAAAAATATTCAAAAAAACTTCATAAAATTTTTTATTCTACCAAAAAAATATTCATAAAATTTTTAACTTACATTTAATTAATAATGAACGTCTCATAATTAAAAGTTTAAATTTAAATTAATTTCAAGTAAAATTAAATTTTAAATCTAAAGTTACTAAAATATCCTCAAAATAACAAATTAAATGTTAATTTATATTAAAAACTAACATAAAGATTGTAAATTAATTTGGGGAATGAATATTACACTTTAAAGATTATAAATTTAATTAATTTCAATTAAAATTAAATTTTAAATCATAAAGTTACTAAAATACCCCTCAAAATAACTTAAATGTTAATTTCTATTAAAAACTAACAGCAAGGATTTTTTTGTTAACGTTTTATTGTTCAGGGGAATGAATATTACATTTTAAAAATTGGAAGACAAAGTGTTATAAGATATAATTCATAGAGAATTTTTATAATTAACTAATCCATCTTTTTTCTACTTCACGGTATGAATTGTAAGGAAATTTGACAGTACACCTGCACCGTTTACCAACAATATGAATATTCAAAGAGCAGTTTCCTTCCTCCTTATATTTATTTTGTATAATCATCCAACAAAACACATATACAAACATTCATTTTGCATCAATTTTTTTCTTGTAGAGTGTATACTCATTAAAGGTGGTCTCAAAGACTGCATCAGAAACATCATTTGCTAGCTAGATATTAAACAAGTCATAACCAAATTAAAAACAAAAAACAAAAAAAAAGTTGAGAAATCTCATTTTTCTTTTATTTTATTTATTTATTTATTTTTTTGAACATATGAATAAAGACAACAGTTAACAGTACATCTAGAAGGAAGCTAAGAAAGGATCGATAATTATAGTTTGGTATCAAACGCTATCTATCAGTTTCAATTTGCAAAGGAGTACTTTGCGCAATAAGCTAGCATGTAGTAGTTGGTGGACAGGTACTGTTCATAAGAATATTAGATCTTATGAAAGTTGGAGGTAACGCTATCTATAAAGAATTTAATTTCTCCCACAGTCTTGAACGTTTTTTGCTTGAGAGAAAATTGCTTCTGTCGAGGTTTTCCTACTATATATTCAATAATCTACATCCATGATCCGTTCTACATGAGTGTGTGTACACATAAATATATATATATATATATATATATGTATGTATGTATAAATGTGTGTGTATATGTGTGGCATGTAACTCTCTAACAAACTATATATCGCACCCATCCCACGTTAAAACGATTGATAACAACCCTTGGATTTGCTTTCTCACCAAGGATTTAACGTTCCAAAAATCTGCATGCAGATCATATAGCTAGCCTAATTTGGTCGATTAACCTTTGTATTATGGAAATATTTGTTAAAGTATAAAACTATTGTTGGCCCACCTCTTAATAGCTTAAGTTTTTGGGATGGATTGGTAAACTAACATGATATCAAAGCGGGAGGTCTTGAGTTCAAACCTTCTTAATTGCACTCTTTATCCATATTTAAAATTGTTATCATGAACTATTGTTAGCCCACCTTCTAATAGCTTAAGCTTTTGGAATGAATTGGTAAACTAACAATATTATAAGTTGTATTTCTGAAGGCACGCTGAACATATAATGAACCCCAAGTTTCCATACATATAATATATTTTTTTTATTTAGTTATATATATTATAATAAATGTTTATATTTATCTTAAAAGTTGTTTGATAATTTACTCGGTTCTTATTACATACGCTTTTTAGTTAGGAGAGTGTTGATTTTCGTCTCTCCACTTTTAGCCGCGAATATATTGTTGAGCAAGTCAAAATCACGTACCTAAACTACTTCATGAGGCATGGGATATCATAGTGAAAAGAGAAACATGATTTTGCACCAAAGGAAAGCTTTTTTTCTTGAAGAGAAAGGAGAGAGGATTTGCAGAGATTTAATTGATTGTCTTTGACACCACTCCAATGTGGTTCTAACTTATTAACTATTAAATTATATATATATATAAAAAACTGTCATTTTCTATGACCAACATTCAATTTTCTTCACCTAATGAACCAAAAGACACCAAAACCAGCTTTTCTTTCACCTCTATATAATATGTAGTCCCTCAAAGCTTTGAACAACACAAACACAGCACACAGTCAAGTCCATTTGGTAACTTCTCTACAAGGAGAATAGAGACAAAACAAATAAAAAATGGGTGCTCCTGATCATCAGTTTTCCCCGCGGGCATTTCTCGGAGTTTTTCTTTTCGGCTTTGTAACAATGGCTGCCATTCCTGAGCATGCATTTGCAGCAGGCATAACAAGGCACTACAAGTTTAATGTATGTCTCAAAAGTAGAACAAATTGTTTTATTTTTCGATATTGTCTTGTTCATTCATGATTAATTAACAACTCTGATTGTTTGTTTGCAGATTGAACTAAAAAACGTGACAAGACTTTGCCACACAAAGAGCATTGTGTCAGTAAACGGGCAGTTTCCAGGACCTCGCATTGTAGCAAGGGAGGGCGATCGCCTCCTTATCAAAGTTGTCAACCACGTCAAGAACAATATTTCCATCCATTGGTAACTAAAAGAAAAAGAAAAAAAAAAAAGATCTAAGTCTTTAATTTTTTTTTCTTTTTTGCACTAATATGATTTGTTTGAAAAATTAGGCATGGAATTAGACAACTTCAAACAGGGTGGGCAGATGGGCCTGCATATGTGACTCAATGCCCCATACAAACAGGCCAGAGCTATGTGTACAATTACAGCATTACAGGCCAAAGAGGAACCCTTTTCTGGCATGCTCACATATCATGGATAAGAGCCACTATCTATGGCCCCATAGTCATTCTTCCCAAGCGTGGAGTTCCTTATCCATTTACCAAACCTTATAAAGAAGTTCCCATCATCTTTGGTAATTAAATATATTACAAGTCAAATGTCATTCAAAAATATTCTTTCCCTCTATTAGTTCATTTGGTCATGACAAAAGCATAAAAATATATGCAGGAGAGTGGTTTAATGCTGATCCTGAGGCGGTCATTAGCCAAGCCTTACAAACTGGTGGAGGCCCAAATGTCTCAGATGCCTACACCATTAATGGGCTGCCAGGCCCTTTGTATAACTGCTCTGCTAAAGGTATGATATAATGCACTGCAAAACATAATTAGCCATATATGAAAAGTTATAATATGCATTAACAAGTAGTTTACAAGAACTATTTGTCGTTGGAGTTGTTTTTATTTTTATTTTTCACATTTTTTAAGAAAAAAAATGAAAAAAATTTTAAAACGGCGTTTAGTACAATTAAATACAAAAAAGGAAATGAAAATGATTTTTTAATTTAGTGTAAAATGAGAGAGAAATAAAAAAAGACTTTTAGTCGTTTTTCATTTTTTATTTTCATTTTTTCTTCTCTTGAGCAGAGAGAAAGAGATAGACAGTAATGAGTTTTTTTTTTATACTGAAAACAATCTCTTGATAAAATTACCAAACGCATTATTAAAAATGATTTCTGTCTGAGATTGAAAACGTTTTTATTTCTATTTTCATACAAAAAAATAAAATTATTTTAGAATGAGTTCTAAACGCACTCATTGTCTTTTTTTTTTTATAGATACATTCAAGTTGAAGGTGGAGCCAGGGAAGACTTACCTTCTCCGCCTAATCAATGCTGCAATGAATGATGAGCTCTTTTTCAGTATTGCAAACCACACTCTCAAAGTCGTTGAAGCGGATGCTATCTACGTTAAACCTTTCGATACGGATACTATTCTAATAGCCCCTGGGCAGACCACAAATGTTCTCTTGAAGACCAAACCACATTTCCCAAATGCAACATTCTTCATGACTGCTAGACCATATGCAACTGGTCTTGGCACTTTTGACAACTCCACTGTTGCAGCCATCCTAGAATACGAATTTCCGTCCAAGTTATCTCCTCACTCAACCCTCCCAATGAAGAAACTTCAACTCTTCAAACCAATCTTGCCCGCTCTAAACGACACTTCTTTCGCAACCAAATTCTCGAACAAACTCCGCAGCTTAGCCAGCACTCAATTCCCTGCCAATGTCCCTCAAAAGGTCGATAAGCGCTTTTTCTTCACGATAGGCCTAGGAACAAGCCCATGCACACATAACCAAACATGCCAAGGGCCTAATGGCACAATGTTTGCTGCCTCAGTCAATAACATTTCTTTTGCACTTCCAAGAACTGCCCTTCTCCAAGCTCACTTCTCTGGGCAATCAAATGGGGTTTACTCTCCCAAATTTCCAACTAGTCCCCTAATTCCGTTTAATTACACTGGCGCCCCACCGAACAATACTATGGTGACCAATGGAACAAAAGTTGCTGTTCTTCCATTTAACACAAGTGTTGAGTTGGTTTTGCAAGACACAAGCATTCTTGGTGCAGAAAGCCACCCACTCCATTTGCATGGATTCAATTTCTTTGTTGTTGGTCAAGGCTTTGGCAATTTTGATCCCAATAAGGACCCTGCTAACTTCAATCTCGTTGACCCTGTTGAAAGAAATACTGTGGGTGTACCTTCTGGTGGGTGGGTTGCTATAAGATTTTTAGCAGATAATCCTGGTGAGTTATAAGTCTATAATGGAATTAAAACTGTTTAGCTATAAAATAATAGTGACAATTTTCTTGCAAATTACTCACTAACAATGTGTTAATTATAGGTGTATGGTTCATGCATTGTCACCTTGAGGTTCACACAAGTTGGGGCTTGAGAATGGCTTGGGTGGTCTTAGATGGAAAGTTGCCCAATCAAAAGTTGCTTCCTCCACCTGCGGATCTTCCGAAATGTTGATCTTCATTGACTCACTTTGAGATTTTCTCCGACTATAAATTCGTTCCTAATTGTCTTGTGATTGCATTTGAATTTATTCTTTGCATTCTTTTTTTTTTTTGTTTTCGCGGTTTTGGTGTTGTAACGGTTTGATTTCAATAACTTGTAGTCTTTATCCATATGGGATTGAGGAGAGAAGAAGAGTGAGAAGTTTTGTTTTGTAAGATTGAAGTACCTTAATGGAAAAGGCTCAAATTTGTATTTGTCAACCTCCAATATTTTGTTTGCTTGGAAATTTAAAAACAATGTAGATGCTATCAAATGAATTTCTATTTTTCACTAATGACAAAAAAAAAATGATTAGCGGTTGACCACTTCAAAAGAAAGAAAAAAAAAACATTAATATTGTTCCAAAATAAAGAAAAAAAGGCCCCAAACTATGAATAATGGCTTAGTTTGGTAGTGCTGTAGATTTTGAAAAAATTGCTTTTAGCTGTGCTGAAGAAAGAACAGTTGTTACAAAAAGCAGTTGAGTGTTTGGTAAACTATAATTATAGTAGCTGTGCTGGTTCCAAAATTAGCGTAATAGCGTTTGATAAATTATGAGGTTGAATTGCTGTAAATAGTTAAAAAGTACAACTATATTATATTATACTATAATATAATATATATATATATAATTACAATATAAAATATATTTATTATTATATTTAATATAATAAAAAAATATTATTATATAATATATTATATAATTATGATATAGAATATAATAATATTATTAAAATAATAACTGAAATAATTAAAATAACAATTATATTATATTATACAATAATATAATATATATAATTACAATATAATGTATATTTATTATTATATTTAATATAATACAATAAACTATTATTAAATAATATATTATATAACTATGATATAGAATATAATAATATTATTCAAATGGTTAATATAATTACAATATTATAAAA